TGAACCAGCCGACAATATTTTCAATCAGATCCAATAAATTTTCTGGAATCCTTGCTGTTTGGTCCAAGTTATAAACGGCAGCGTGAAAAATATGTAATGTTTACTAAGGAGTTGTTTTGAAATCAATAAAGTGAAGATGTAAATCTATAAAGGTTAAAACAGCTGTGATGTATTATAGTTCAACATAGTCGATTATTAATTGTATTCAAGTATTTGCTGCTTCATCTCTATGTTGACGTAAAAGCTATGAACATAATAGACAAGAATGATTTCTATATGTTTTCATTAACGGTAGTATTATCTAACAAAGGTATTCAAGGTTGTACATTTCGTTTGTTTTTCAAGTATTATCTTCATATGTTAAATTATAATGTGATTTGATTCAAGTTTTTAATTGAATTTTTAAACTCTTGTCACTTATGTTTTGTACAACAAAATCGTTAAGTTCAAAACCAACTACAGCAAACGTAAATGACCACCTCGTGTTTATTATTCCTTGTTTTAATTGAAGCGCAAACATTGGCCGGGTAGTCTGTGAAAACAGCGCCACCTGTGCTGGGGGTGATTTGTTAACTCTGTGTTGATCATTGCAATAAAACTTTGAATAGATAACATGCGTCTATATTGAGTACAGATCAATGCCACTGTTGGTTTTATTCAAGGGCGGATCCAACATTAACAACATTAAAGGGGGGGGGGGGTCACATAGTCGTGGTCAAGTTAAGAGCTTGACAAAATATGTAAATGTATTTTGTCAAATTCTTGACCAACCAGCTCAGGGGGGTCATGACCTCCATGACCCCCCTCTGGTTCCGCCGTTGGTTCAATTAAGGGGTTGCATTGGGAAAGATCTATGTCCAGCAGTGGGCAGACAAAGGCTGATAATGTTGATGATGGTGATGATGATGATAGTTGTCAGTGAAGATTTTATATATTTTTATTATTGATACTTTGTTAGGAAAAAGTTATCTATTTTTTTCTTAATGAATTTTCTGTTTGTAAATCATTACTACGAGTTCTTTTTTAAACTTGAAAATCAACATAGTACACTCTTCTTACAGAGTAATTTATACTGTTTCAATATATTCACGTAAACAGCATCCTAAGTTTCTTTTTACCTAATTTCATACGGATATTAAAAAAAATCGATAATGACACTCGTCGTTCTTCTTTCCAACTTTGCAACAACGTTTTTCATTTAATTTTTTAAACTTTTCTCCACAGGGAACGAAACTCTCAATTGATATTGATGAGGACATTAAACAGTTTCACAACACGTAGAGAAACTTTGTCTTTCAATTACAAACTTGATGATATTAAAAAGCTATTTCATTTTACAAGAAAATATAATATTTAACAGTGGTAGAGCCCGCTTTAACATATTCGCACTGCTGGGCCGGCTCGCCCGGTGTAATACCACGACCACACAGAAAACAGACGTGAAGTGGGAGCAATTCCGCTTTTTGTCTGATGAGTGTGGTGCCGGAGACCTAATTTTAGTCCCTTTTCCTTTCCGCCCTTTTCTTAAGAGCAAAAGGAAAAGTGGATTTGACGGTGGAGGGAACGCATAGGAAGGGGAAATGTCCTCTTTATGTGCGTCTTCTCCTCCGTCAATTTAGGGTAGGCAACGCATCTGCAATTGCGGATGTTATGGGCAGCGGCCGCTTTCCGTTTTGGTGGTTTCAGGCAACCGCTTGCTCGTTTTCCACTATATATTATAAAATAAAAAATAAAAAAAATGCTCATAGTTCAACCTGTTATAGTACACTAAAGTTAAAATAATTTAATTTATTACAAACACGCTGTTGTCCGTGACTCCACGTGTTTTTACTAAGAAAAGAGATGTTACATACATAATATCATTTCCCAACCTGTGGCAAATTGTACATCTCACTCGTGCATCTCAGTAGGAAATAAAAAGTAATGGTACAGATAGTACGTGCACTGCAAGGTGTATTAAATGTCGAAGACAAATACTTGAATGGTATTATAATGATAACAAAACATTTGAACATCAATTATAAAAAAAACCTGGTGCACTTACAGATGGATAGTTCTTTAAGAGTTTAAGGGTGGAGTCATGAAAACTCTCTAATAAAAAATGGTGTCTGGATGTAATACTTACTCATGTTGTTAAATTAAATTATTTCTTATTTTATTTTACTAATATTATAATTGCGAAAGCTTAGATGGATGGATGTTTATTACCACGTAAATTCAGAACCGATACATCTGGATGAAATTTGGTAAAACTGTAGAATATAGGACGTAATTCGGAAAACACATCAATACCAAATTTCATCGAGATCCATTCAGCAGTTTAGGCTACAAACATCCATCTAAACTTTCGCATTTATAACAGTACTAACTTTTGCCAGCGACTCCGTCCGCGCGGTATAAAAAAAACAAAAGCAAGTAGCCTATGTGCTCTTCCAGACTATTCTCTACATCTATGCCAAATTTCATCGAGATCCATTCTGCCGTTTAGGCTACAAACTCTAACAAACATTCATCTATCCCATCCATCCATCCACCTAAACTTTCGCATTTATAACATTAGTAAGATTGTATAGAGTGTATTTTATAGAAACGCTACGCCTATACCAGTACAAAGGCAATAAAGTCTTACCATCGTCTCATTTCGATGTACCTATTTATTACAATAAGATTACTAAGGGTGCGTTCACACTTTTATACACACCAAAAAAGCATACAATGTTCATTTCTGTTTAATACTCGTAACCATAAAAGTAATTTTGAATTACAATTCTTAGTACAAAGTAGATATCGTATGGTTTTATAAAATATTCAAACGCCAGCAATGACACATTGCATTTACTACAAAATAGAAATGTGTTACCGAGTATTTGAGTCATTCAAACCTTACTTTAAACTTATCAAGTTACAGAAATGAATCAACATTTACAAGGAATGTACTGAATGAATTATGATTTTGTGGTATTTTTCTATCGATAACTTTAGAGAGAATGTGGCAACATATACTTTCGAGAACTGTAAAATTGCAATTATAAGCTACTAGCTTTCTCCTGCGATTTCCTCCACGCGAAGTAAAAAATGTATTAATAGCCTATGTGTTCATGTACAATAATTTCTACATCTGTGGCACATTTCATCTAGATCCGTTGAGCATTTTAGGCTACATACTCTAACAAACATATTTTTTTATTATTTTAAACATATCTATTTTAAACATCGCATTATTAATATTATGTTTGGGCTTTTATCGCATCGACTCTCAAATATTACCTTCCTATATTTCGCGTACAATTAAAATACGGTTATTTTACATAAATAATGACAATAAGCAAATCACGTTTCCAGTATAGCCGCGACCTTAACCTGCGCTCGCGCAGCTGCGCGATGCGCTCGCTACCGGTTGTGCGCCCTCCCCCGCGCCCTCCCGCACCTCCTCCGCACCTACCCAGCCCCTCCCCCGCACTGCACTTCAACTTGCCCTACGTTATCGATCGTCAGACCAAACGGAAAATTTTATTTCATACCAACCTTTTTTATTAGACAACTTGATTTTATTGTAACAATGGAACTTCTATATCATTTCGTAATTTAATTCATAAGTTTATTGACATCAGAATATTCTTTAACCATGTTTAATCTAGATTTGAATTTATTAATACACGATTATTTAAGAAAAGTGTACAAAACATAAACAAAAAAAAATCATGTTTGTACCATGATTTTTACTTTTATTCTGGTTCGTAAAGTAATTTCTATATGAACTTAAATTGTAGTCTTCAAAGAGTATAGATTTTGAATAATGTATAACCCGCATCCTGACCGCAGTGGACTGCGAAACAAATGACGTTCGCGATTCTAAATGTAAATACCTATAGTTAGAGCGAGACAGGGAGATCTATCCGTCTTGTATTATTGATAGTCTGATATCCCAAAAGCTTTACTGTTGATGTGTTAATTAAAAAAAAATAAACAAAATAACTTAAGTAGGACAACAAACTCCTTTGAGACCTCGACTGTAGTCTCTGTAATAACTATTAAATAATTGAACAATGTAATAGTTGTAGAATGTAATGTAATAATATGATAGCATTTTCAAATATATTTCTCTGTATTTTCTCATATATTTCACTCAAAAGATTATGTTTTTGTTCAAGAAATGCGCTGACGGACAGTAAATAAACTAAATTATACGTATGCATCCAACGGTTACTTAGTCCGTGATAGCGTAGCGCGGCTGCGCAGGCGCATGTCCCCTCCCCGCGTATACTCTCCCCCGCTCCCCCCGTCTACGCTGTCCGCGTGCGTAAACGTGACCCCGGCGCTTGAACTCGACTACGCCTCAATGTTTTGTATGCTTTTTATGTGGAAGATTATTTTGTAGATTGTATTCTTATGTTGCGAGCAAATTAAATTACGATAGCACACTAGCGCCAACATATAATTTTCAAAATCCATGTAGGTTTCAAATATTTTCTGACATATGACAACTCTTGTTACATATGTCATCTTGATGTGAAATCTATTAGGTTAATGTCAACAAAATTCAACACTGTATATAAACAAACATGTCTTCATAAAACTTAAAACAAATCCAAAGTGTGAAAAAAAATGGAAAAATAAAAAAAATTACTTCAAATGATACTTAAAAATCACATATTTATTTTTAAGAAAAAAAGAAAAAAGTTACCCAACGTAAGTGTTTTCATTATAGGTATTATAAACTAACGTAGATGCCACGGCCCGGCGAAGGAGAACACCGCGGGGTTTAGTGGGTAGTCCGGCCGGGATTAAGGCCGGGAGTCCCACACGAAACTGTCCCTGCTGCCTCCGCAGCATGGACGGTTAAGTGCGTAAATGCATTCCCCGCGACAACAAAAAAAAATAGGTATTATAATAAATTAAAAAGGTGGTGATAACAATCTAATTGATTAGTTATTATTGGTACCTATTTTAAAGTAAATTAAGTAATTGTTAAAATAACTTTTTACTATATACAGGAATAATAATGGAACAAATTTTCATGATAGAAGTATTCGTAAAAAAGATTATATTAAAAGTGGAACCACCTCAGAAGGATGAATATGAGCTAAAACTGGAAGAAGAAGAACGAAAGCGGGAAGCAGAAGCATTGGCGGCAGCGGAAGCCGCAGCTAAAGGAAAAGGTAAAGGTAAAGGGAAAGGGAAAGGTGGTGGGAAAAAAGGTAAAGGCAAAGGTAAAAAGGGCAAAGAACCCCCGAAGCCATCTGAAGAAGAAATGAAATATATGCAAACTTGTACGTTGCAAATGAATTGTCTGCCTCTGTTTGACTTTTACGTAGCACATGACAACTTCGTAGCTCCTCCACCACCACCACCTCCAGAAAAAAAAGGTAAAAAGAAAGCAAAACCTAAAAAACCAAAGAAAGGTAAAAAAGGCGTTGCTCCGATAAAGCTAGTTTTACCTTCAGACCCATTACCTCAACCGCCATACTTCGGTGTAGGTAATTCAGTCATGTTTTTATCACGACCATCAAAACTCGAAGAAGTTCTCAGCCAAACACCAATTTTTATTACTGTATGGAACAGGGACCAAGAATTTAACTGTATAGGTTTTTGCAAAGTCGATTGGCACGATTCTTTCTTTGACTGTCTAAAAAGATCTGCAGAATTAAACCCAGTGAATATGGATAAAGGTGAATTCAGAGATACTTCAAAAACTGAAATGATAAGCAATACTATAGAACTGACAAGATATTTACAATGCGAGGAGGATTTAAAACCTTCTGGTGAAATAGAATTCTACATTCGATTGACTTGTATGGGGAATAATGTGATCAGTTATTTCGTTGCTTTACCGGAGATGGATCGGATACCGGGACGTAAATATCTTAATGATGAATTGAAGCTAAAAGATTTAGAAGTAGTAAGGCATTGGGATGGAACTACTATTGACGCTCTACCCCCTGTAGCATACTTTTTTGGTGCACCTGATATTAGTAAAGAGCCAATACGACCAGAAGAAGAACCAGTTGTATACGAAGAGTATACCGCGCCGTTTACATCAAGTGAGCTTACAATACTAGCAATGGGCTTCCCTAAGGGTCCATGTGGAGGTACAAATTGTCCGAAACGAATGGACTACCGTGGTAGTCAACATCAGTTTATCCACGGACAAACTGTAAAAGGTAAATATCAACACGGACAATTTGTTAACAAGAGAGATGTGCATGGACCATGCGGTAGATTAGATTGCCCATTAGCCAAAAAAGTAAGGTCATATCTCTGTTCCGAAGGCAGTTACAAGCCATGTAAGAAACCTTGTCCTAAAGAATATTATTGATTTGAAACCAGAAATCTCTCGTGGTTATTTTAATTTACTTTTGTACAATAAAGAAAATTACTCTAAAATAAATTTTATTGAATAACAAGAAGACCAACCAATCAGTCAGCAAGTTGGTAAGATTAACAGATGAACAACATAACATAATATACAGCTAAGATTTTTTAAAAAGGAAGGATTCTTCTTATTAAAAGTTAAAAGGTAACAAGAGCCTGTTTATTAGATTTTTGAATGATTTTCATATTTTGGTATTAATTACGCGATTTAGAACAGTGGCCAAAAACGAAAACAAAACGCAATCAGTGAAAACGAGATTTCCTCGAAGTGATCATCGTTTGCGATATTTAACACGGCCAATTCTCTGTTCTCTTGGCACACATATCGTGTCAAATACAATTTTAATTTCAACGATAACATCAGTAATTTAAACTCTATTACTAACGTTATAAGGGAATATCAACTGCACAGAGTATGTTGCATTTTGTACTAAATCGTTGTAATTATTAGCGTTATTTTGACGGCCGCAATTTACGCGTTACGCCCCGTGAGCGTGAATAAGTTCGTAATCAGGACATCACTTAAAAGGACTGCATTGTATTGAAAAAGTTCATTGTTTTATGTGAACTTTAATGTATGACTGTTGTATGTCTCATTTCACTTTTACGCAAGATCACAAGATTACATTCAATCTGACATTTGATATTATATCTCACTCTGTTCACTCCCTCTCTTTTCGCCTGTCTTTCTAAGTTGCAAAAGTTTTAAATCCACAAACTTTGTAATTTCACAACGCCTTACAGAATATGATAGGCAAATATTACGTTTGGTATCAAACTCTAAATTAAGAACTGTATTATTTAATACAAAAATATAATTTACTTACCATTTCCATATTTTTTTTAGTAATAAACGGAATTAACATGAATCGTTACAAATTTACTTATTTTATGCAAATGTGCGTTTTTTATTCACAAAATTATCGTATGATGTAATGATTAACTAACCACACCCTGTAGAAACAGTTTTGACAGAGGGTCTATTGCGAAAAGTTGCGTGACATTTGTTAGAACGTATTCGTAATTTGACATTTGTAGATTTGTCGATGTATTTTGCGCCAGGAAGACGCTGCAAATCTATGACGTTACGAACTTTCTCACGAATATTCGTGATAGCCCACAGGTAGTGAATCATCATCACGCTTATATGCCAATGGGAGTAATTAGAGAGTGAGTCATGTCAGACAATGAGCATAACTTTGAAAGCAAAAATTTGCATAAAGTATTGCGAATTTTAATTAAAACATTATAATAGTAATTTAACTTTGAATGTTTAAGCTTTATAAATTAGATAAATTAATTCAGACTCGACATAAAATGCACTATATACTCGTATATTTGGTGAAACAACCATCAAGCTATACAAACTCAAAAAGGGGTAACCGTATTCTATTTCTAATCAAACATATCATAGCACGACAAAATGGTAGTTTTAACAATCCTTGTTAAATATTAGAACAAGTGTGTTCAAAATGTGTACAACCGAACTCAATATTAATTATTTATAGTAATTAGATAACTTGATTGTATCAACTACTTTATCTTACTTCTTACTATCATTAAAAAAACGAATGTTTGTTAAAGTTTGTCGCCTAAACTGCTGAAGGGATCTCGATGAAATTTGGCATAGATGCAGAATATGTTCTGGAAGAATACATAGGTTATTTTTTTTTAATTGCAACAGAATCAGCCGAAGCCTAGTATTAAGATAACTACACAAGACTCTTAATTTGAATATAAACCACCAAATGGAATAACTATACTAATGTAGAGGTCGTGAGTTTGAAAACCACTTTTCGACTTACGTCAATATTTGGACTAATTTTAAATGGTATCAAGAAATATAAACGAAATATTACATTAAAAATAAATGTTTTTAAATTTAACAATGTTTAAAATTATATGACTTTTACGTTTGGGTTAAGTTACCTTTTATGTTGAAAATGGTAGAGGTAAATGAAATAAAGGGACACCTCTCTTGGGCGGAAAATTTCTAATTGAAAATATTTCAAACAGCCACAAGTGGGGCGGGGCAATATTACAAACTTTTCCGAGGTGGCTTTATGTTCAATAAGGACTCGGCTTCAAAACAGAAAATAATTAATATGGTTTCAAATATTTCATTGTGAAATAAAATTGGCTACCCTTTGTCTTATTACTATATAATTAAAACACCGTTTTGTAGTTGGGGTTACTTAATTATTACTTTTTGCTTAATAATTTGTTTTTAAAATGCAAATAAAAACAAAGGAACTAGTAAAAGTAATTACTAGCAAATAGTTCAATCATAAATACTTTATTCCTACTAAAATTTTAAATGCGAAAGTATAGATGGATGGATGTTGGTCAGAGTTTGTAGCCTAAACGGCTGAATGGATTTTGATGAAATTTGATAGAGATATAGAGGATAGTCTGGAAGAATACATAGTCTACTCACTTGTGTTATTTTTTAAAATCCACGCGAACGGAGTCGCGGACGAAAACTAGTTTTTCAGTATTCTCAAAGTAGGAAAGTAATAAATAAATACACTGCAAACTCATAAATAATTTAAACTTTGATGTGTAAATATAGAAGTGGGAGATTACGTCAAATGGAGATCCGTGGTCGCTGTCTACCCATCTGAGTTACAGGCGTGAGTTATGTAGTTGTTATAAAAATAAGATCAAGAGAATTTAGTTAATCTCTTGGGTGCACCACATTATCATATGAAACAAAACAATAGTCAACTTCGATGACGAGTTTAAAACTGACCAGAACTAATCAACGTTACCGTAAGTTTCTGGCTGATTAAATTCAAAGTTCTGCCATCGTACTAATGAAAGCGGTGGATATCGTCCAATATAGTGACGTTCTGCATATCGCAAAACTTTCGCAGATGAAGTAATTAAGGTATACTGCAGTTGTCCAGGTAAATGACAGCTTCATACATTGAACTAAATCCATTGTAGTTCGGTTTGTATTAAAAAAAACTAATTTACTTCTAGGAAATAATACAAAAATCAACTATTAACATGCTTTTAGTATTAGATAAATATTTTTACATAGTTTTTTTTCTATTATTTCTCTTTTAACAATACAAAAACAATTAAATCTAGCTTAATCTAAAAAAAAAACGCTAAATAAAACTCAATGGTTTTTTACTAGCGTTTCAGTGGCTTGCGTACATAAATATTATTTCAGTTTATGCATAATGTTTTTTTTGTGTTTTACATTTTATTAAACCTGAGGGTAGTTCATTAACTAATCTAGATACAATGTATGATGCCGTGCGCTCGCCGTACACATTTTTTGCGCCAATAGTGTAGTACCGGCTTTCTGTTATCGCCCGAGTGCATATAGGATGTTATAGTTATTAAGTGGATTTACCAAGTACATATACAATAAAAAAAACATTATTATACCTAGATACTAGCTTTCGCTCACGACTCCGTCAGCGTGGACGACTTCCAGACTAAGCTCTATATCTTTCAAATTTCATTAAAATCCGTTCGGCAATTTATACTAAACACTCTAACAGACATCCATCTAAACTTTCACATTCATATTCTTAGTTAGATTTGTAATAGTTAATATAAAAAATACATATAATAATTAACTTTCCAGTAAGTTAAGTTTAAATTATCTATCGTTAAATTAAAAAAGGACAAAACATTGACAAAAAAGATCGAACTTTCTGTTCCCAATAGACCTACCACAAAGTAAAGCATTGTAAAAAAACTATAATTAAATCTAATTCATCTTTGTCAAATCCGTGTATTTGAAAAGTCATCTCCGCTACAACTAAACAGTTAATAAATTAAATCATAGCACGGTAGAGGCAATCATTCGGTCACAATAGGAGACATTTTAAGATTAATATTGGTCATTTGGACCCTATTAACATTGTCAGGTCAACCGCAAGTCAATCCAATAAACAAACTTATGTTGTCACTTATCAAATTAACATACACCTCTATTTCAAAGGCAATAAAGTTTATAATATCTCAAATGTAATTTTTTAAATTGATACAAGTGCGTGGTCGATGTGAACTATTCAAAAGTTCCTAATTATAATTTGAATCGTTTAGGAGTTAAATATTTTCGGCGTCAAACAAATAAAAAAAATGTTTGAAGACATCGTCTCGGGTTTGGTCAACAGTGCGGAAGGACAAGGAATGGCGTTGAGTCGACTACACATTTGGTATTAAAAGATCTATTGTCGTAGATTTTAACTATTTCAATTAAGAACTAGATATATGTTAACATTCCAATACTGTTTCTTTTTTTATAAATTAACGAAAAATGAAATGACTGATTACGTTAAGTATGAAATGAATATGATAATATTAAGGACCAGTCCCACTACTGACTGATAGAGGCTCAGGTAGCTGAAAATGACGACATTGTCATTTTCATCACATATTTTCCACGTTGGATTGTTATCAGACAGTTTACAATTTGGTGGGACAGGCCCTAAGTAAATTACTCAGTCAGTTAATGTGAAAAACAGTTCTTCAAAATTATTCATTGATAAATATCTATCATACTATAAAAAAATACATTTTAACACCTTAGCAGTTTTAATAAAAAAAACTATGACTCATTAAGAAATCAAACTACGTGATGAAAATTAAATAATTAAAATTCAACACGCATCCATACATTTCCGTTTTATCCCGACAGATGAGTCATACGGTCGCAAAGTAGAACGGTTGGTACGAATAGGCACCGGTGAAAAAAGCTAACGCCGGTGTGTACTCGCCTTATCTGTTGCATCATGTTATACAGCGTGTTTATAAATACAAGTGAGTCATAAATAGTGTTGCTATGCGAAACAGTATTTAGCGTAGTTTATGGCGTGTTTGTTTTTCAAGCACAGATTTTTGAAATGAGAGTAGCATTTTTATTTTATTAAAAGATGATAATTGGTAGGGTTGTGTTTGAATTATGAAACTTAGTTTAAATTTTCACAAGACTCTTTGCTATTTTTTAAACCT